CCCACCCCGCGGTGCCCCGTGCACCCCACCAGCCACCCCACTACAGGAACCAGGGCAAGGGAGAGGGGGGCTGCACCCCCAGACCCCCTGCAGCCGGGCAGCCCTGACCCCAGGAACCCCACGCAGCCACGGGAGAGGTCGAGGCTGCCACGAAACACCCGTGAGAGACGGCGCCCGGTTTGCCAGCCACCCGCCGCAGGGGCAGTGCGACCGATTCAGCCAAGTAACTTGCTTGCCAAACTGGACGATTTTATTGTTATTTTTCTCATCGACCTCCGAGCCATTATGGAATCATACACCATCCGCACGCAGCCCGCGGCCGGCGGCCCAGCCATCAACCCAGCTTCTCCTTCAGTACCACCAGGTCACGCGTTGCCTCCTTGGTTGTGCCCAGACAGTAACTTGTGACTGCGCGTGTATTAATTTTAGGGAATTAATTCATTTTCTTGCAACATTAGAGGTTAATTAAATGCTGGCTAATTGCTACCAGTCATTGGAGGAATTCTGCTCCTGAGTCCTTTCATGGCCTGAATGCACCAAAGGAAGAAAAAAAGGAAAGAAAGAAGGAGAGAAAGAAGCCCTTTCAAGACCACAGAAAATTGCAAAAGGATGTTTCTTCCAACCCGACATGACAAAATTGAATTCCAAGCTATTTAATGCATGCACGAAACGCCATAGAGAAACCCAGCCCGAGCACTCCATCTATCACGACAGGGAGAGGGGTTTCGTAACACGAGCACTCGCTACGGCACTGACTCCGTGCTTCAAACTCCGGACTTCCAGGCAATTTCGCTTAAATGTAACTACCAGATTAAGGATTCTCACAGACAGGGCTATCGCCAGCATTTCCATGGGACATACAGCTAAGGTAACACCGTGATTATGATCAACATTAACGATGGAGACCTCGGGAAGCCACCGTCCCGAGTGGTGTTGGCAGCCCCGCTCAGTCCGCAGGGGCGCCACGGCCGTGGTCACAGTGCAGCCCCCGTCCCCTCCCCACCAGGGAGGGAGGGATGCAGGGGTCCCGGTCCCACTGTGGGCGCAGTGGCCTGGCCCGGCCAGTGGCATTTCAGGAGTGAAAAACCAGCCCCGCGGGGAGGGGCACGGGGAGCCATCTGGGTTTGTCCTTAAAAACGGGATTTCACGGGTTACACCGTCACGAGGATGATGTCATGCAGCCTGACAGAACGCCCCCGCCCGCCTCAGACCGGCGTGGTTCGTCTGTTGGCCGGGTTGTTGTGCAAAGACTCCTTGAACTCTTTGGGGATGGAGTTATGGACCTGTAAAAAACCGTGGTCCCGCTCCGAGTTGAGCAGCGTCCCCATGGTGACCTTGGAGGGATCCCTGGAGAGGGTGAACATGGAGATGTCGGTGGAGGGGATGGTGCTGAACCCCTTGCTGACGGGCGACATGTCCCGGGACCGGGGCTCGGTGGAGCGGGAGCTGGACCGCCGGCGGAAGCGGTACCTGTAGGGGGGGAGGCGGGTGAAGGCTGACTTCTTCAGCAGCTCCGAGTGGGACTTGGCACGGATCTGGCGGTGCTTCTCGATGTACATGTGCACAGCGATCACCCCCACCATCTCGGCGATGATGAAGGACAGGGCTCCGAAGTAGAAGGACCAGCCATAGGAGTAGCTCTTCTTGGAGTCGCTCTGCCCTGGGTCCCCCGCGTTGGCCGAGATGTAGACTATGATCCCGATGATGTTGCTGAGACCTTCAGAGGAGGAGGAGAGGGAGAGGTGCCCGCTTGAGCGGCAGGAGAGGGACGGGGGACAGCAGCACCCCGCGATCTCCTCCCGGCAGCGGAGGGGCGCAGGCTGGAGGAGCCTGGACCTTCTCCTGCCCACCACGACCCACGGGGTGCCCGGCAAGCCCGGGGGGTGCCGGGGGCCATGGCTGCATCTCCATGCCCCGTGGGGCAGTGCCGGGGGCCATGGCTGCATCCCCATGACCCGTGGGGCACCAACCCCTCTGCCAGCACACGGGGGCCAAACCCCCTCACAGACCTCTGCGGCCATCCCCAGCGTACCTATACATTCACATACACCCAGAACACACGTATATTGACGTACACCAGAGAGGCAGGAGGGACAACCGCTATTTTGTTTAGAAAAGAGACATTTCAAGAGCTGGTTTTGCTTTGCAGAGCTGCTCGCGGAGCAATGGAGCGCAGGAGCCTGGCCGGCGCTGGGGCTGTGGCCGGAGCAGAGCCAACCCGCGGGGCACGGAGGGGACCCCTCCAGCACAAACCCCGGCTCGCCATGGCCCTGGGAGCACAGGGACGCAGGAACGGCTCCGTGTCTTTTTGTTTCTGGTGGAGCCTGGAAGGTTGATTTGGGATTCGGGCAGTTTTTGCGCTGCCGGCAGCACCACAGGGCTGTGCCGCAGGGCTGGGGAGCGGGTGATGTATTCCTGGATTTACTTCATGAATCGATTATGTTCTTTCTGTTGTTTTCTCATCTGCATCAGCAGCTCCTGCCAGCTGAAGGAGGGAGAGTAATTTGCCTCTTTGTGGGGAGAAGAAAAACACAAAATGGAGCAGTTCCTTGAGACAAAGACATTGTCATATGATAATCAGTGGAAGCGTTGGGGAGCAGTGCACGGAGAAATGAGCAATCCAGAGGGAACGGCCTCTCAAGAGAGAGTGATTTTCCTTGCAGGACTGTGGCAGCCCCTCTGCCTTCTGCCTTGCCTCGGCTGCTGCCAGCACAGCGCCTGCCCTCGCCGGGTCCCATGACCCGCTGCTTGGCAGGGATGGAGGGCAGAGCCCCCCAAAACCTGCCCCAGGGCCGGGGAAGCCCCCAGTGGGATGCCTGCGCTCCGGGAGCCCCTCCTGGGCTGCAGCACCTGCATGGAGACCGCTCGGGGCAGAGCGGGGTGGATGCTTAAAGTGCCGTCTAGCACGGTGACCGCTTCCCAGGAACCTCTGCTGGTTTCTTCCCTGCCATGAGCATTTTCCCACCAGGATGGGACAGCTCACAAACCCCAGAATCTCACAGCCCGGGAGGACCCACCATCTGTCTCTGGCTCCCCCGTGTCCTCCCACACTTCTACACCAGGAGAGCCGCCCCGCTCCAGACCCCACCGGGCAGCTCCTACCTGCAGAGACGAAGAAGATGCCGGCGCTGAGGATGACGTTGTGTTTGCTCTTGTAGAACTCGCTGGCCGCCACGCACAGGCCCCCGAAGAACAGCAGACCCACGCTGAGGATGGGGAAGATGCTGGACGCTCTCACTGCACCTGTGGGACAGGGAGCGGGGCAGGGTCAGCCCCCGGCATCGCTCCTGCAGCGGGGGCTGCTGGCATCTCCCACACCAACGCCAGCACCCGGAAAGATTTGTTGCAACGTCACACTCAGTCACTGCCACGAGGGATGGGGGAGAGCCAGCACCGGTCCCCGCTATGCATCCTTTGCTCGTCCCTGAGCTGCTCTGGAGCCCAGCACCAATGCTGCAAACCCTGTGATCCAAGCTGTCCATCACAAAAACAGCTTAAACCCTGAATTTCTTTTTTTCCCCCCTAGGCTGTTTCAAGGAATTATTTCTTCCAGCCTCGTCACACAGTCAGCACTAGCAGTTTACCTTCCCGTTACCTAACAGACCATCCACGGGCTTTGGCTATGGATGTGGTCAGGAACCTGTCCCTTGGGCCCCCACACTATTGCGGCAGCTTTGAAAGTCAAGAATTTACAAACTAACACAGCTCGAGTTCAACAAAAAGTCATCTTCTGATGTAGGGGAGGAACATTACCGAAATGAACAAAAAGCCCAAGACCCAGAGCCCACCACATGCGGTGCCGTGGCCCCGGCGCTGGGCTCCATCCCCAACGGGACGAGCTCCGGCAGCACCTGTCCCTGCACGCTCAGGAGTCACCGACGGAGCACTACACAAAGAAAGGTCTTTTCTACATGGCCTATCAGAAGTTCGGCTTCCAAAATGACAGTAAAGAGTAATTAATGCAGCAAATCACTACCTGCTGCACTGAAAATACACTGTGCCTTGGTTTGGGCTCTCATCCCTCTATTAGGGCCTTTATTAAAAGCACAAAAGTACAGAGAAGCCCCATTAAAATGCCATTCTGGGGGCTTTAAAATAGACTTTTTATTTTAAATGCGGGAGAGGGTGGGAGAAGAACTTAAACGCTAATCTACTAAAATTGCAAACCAACTCCATTAAACACGTTCCCCTCTTAGATGGGTGAGCAGAGCTGATGGCTCCCTGCAGAGTCAGAAAACGGGGAGTTCAGAGCAACATCTGGATGAGCAGCAGCTGCCTCAGGCAGGAGGCGCTGCACACCCCCGCGGGCTGAAATGATGGGGGCTGGGGGTCTCTTTGCCCCGGGGGATCCCTCCCAGCCCCAGCAGCTCAGAGAGCGCCCAGAGATGCTGACGCCTCCGAGGCTGCCACGTGCCCCTGCTGCCTTATGTTCTTCCTTGTTTGGAAATGTCGGTGTTCAAATGAACCTTTTGCTGTGCAGGCTTCGCAGTCTGTCACACACGCGTGTGCTCGCCGACGTGCCGGGCAGTGTGCATCCACGATGCTTTGCATGTCAGGGTGTGTGGCATTTGTGTCCAGCCTCTGCCAACCTGCACCCCAGCGCTCGCTCGTGCACGTGTCTGCAAAGTGCTCAGGGCACGATGCCTCTTCTCTGCAGGGTCACCCTCACCCCGGCGTCGGGTGCCCCCTCGTAAAAACCCTGCGGGTTCTGCCCCGAGGCTCTGCTGGCCCCCGGGACAGGAGAACCTCGCTTTTCCCAGGAGAGCTGCCAGCTCTGTTTTCACTCCTCTGTCTCCCCGCACTCGGCTGCTGCTGGCAGAGCCCACGGCAGATGCTCGTCGCGCTCTCCCGGCGAGCGCCAGCAAATCCAGCCTGGCTGCAGAGACTCGGGGAACGGGGAGACCGGCACGAACACGGCACCCTCGCAGAGCTGCACCAAGGAACTGCGGGGTCCCGGTCCCCACCGGCCCTC